TTTCCTTAGCTTTCTTCAAGCCTGTATCTTAAGTTTTCTACATTCTCCAATAGCTCTGTAAAATGTCTCCATTCAGCTTTCAAAATAGTCAAACCTTCAGATAATTTATTGCTTTTATCTTTCTGCTCTTGATTTATCCTCCTGGACCCACCTACCCTGACACTCCAGCTCCAATATTGATGGCGTCTCTCTAGAGCTCTATCTAGCTGCCTATCCTGGGATAGATTCCTGTTCCCAGGATCCGATGTCATTCTTTCCCTGAGTTTACAGAGCCCAGTAGCTTTCTGAGAAAGAGTACCTGGGAGGCAAATCTTTGAGACCCAGTATATCTGAAAATATCCTTAATCTCCCCCTCATTCTTGGTTGTTTCCCTAGATATGAAATTCTAACCTGGAAACCACTTCCCCTCATAATTTTGCATTTATGCTCTAATTAATGCCTTCTAGCCCTCTCATTTTCTGCCAAGAGAATAGGGAGATGGTGTAAGACTGGCTGATAATGTTTTGGAGGCTACACTGAAAAGCAGCCTAGAAGACTGTCCTCACTATAAACAGACTTTCACATGATTTCTCTGTTCTCAGTAGAACCCCTTTCTCCTTCCCACAGTTCAACCTCTTTAGAATATAAGCTTTCAGACTTCTAGTGTTGGTAAGTAGAGTTGCCTGGCTACAAAGGATGAGGAGGGAGATCTTACAGTTAAGTCATTCCTTTTAAAGACTTTTAACCAATCATCCTATTTTTAATTCACCTAGTATCTCTACCCCTGCCTCCATCCTTAAAGTGTCACAGGTCCTGGGGTATCTGGGTGTCTCAGTCTGTTAAGTGTCTAATTTTGTTCCGGTCATAATCTCAGGGTCCATGGATTGAGCCTCGTGTCAGGCTCCCCCTCAGTGGGGAGTCTGCTTCTCCCTCTACCCCTCCCTCTGCTTGTGCTCCCTCAAATAAATAAAATCTTTAAAAGAAAGATGTTGCAGGTCCTGAGTTTTTGGAGGTTCTTGTTGACTTTGAAAAGTCCCAACACCCCTGAATCTATAGCCACTTTATTTTCAACTTTCTCTGCTCTGGTAACTTGGTTAATCATGGGTCTATCTACTTTCTAGTTTCTAAATTTTTATTCACTCTTGTGGTCCACTTGTGAGGGAGTAGAATAAATTCTGTGTTCAATCTGCTATATTTAACTTGAAGTTGAATTATTTCCAGTAAAAGTCTTACATTTCATTCTTGACTTTTGATATTTCAGAAGTATGTTTCATAACTACAGCTCTGTTGGTTCTACCTCCAAAATATATCTTGAATTGGTCTACTACTATGTTAGGTTTCCCAAGACTGCCATAACAAACTACCAGAAATTGAGTGGCTCAAAACAACAGAGATTCATTCTCTCACTGTTCTGGAAGCTAGAAGTCTGAAATAAGGTTGTCAGCAGGCTCCTCTGAAAGCTCTAAGGAAGGATCCTTCCTTGCCTCTTCCTAGCTTGTGGTGGCTCCTGGTAAATCCTTGGTGCTCCATGGCTTGTAACTACATCATTCCAATCTCTGCCTTCCTCTTCGGGACCTCCTCCTCTGGTGTCTGTGTCCTCTCTCCTTCTTGAAAGGATAGTAATCATTGGATTTAGGGCCCACCCTAATCCAGGATGATCTCATCTTAATTATTTCTTTCTACGTTTATATATATAAAGGAGGAAAGGTAAAGAAATCTATATGGTGGTGACAGTTCTACAATCTACTTAAAGTGGTAGATTTTAAGTAGACTGTGAAAAATTAAGTATGTATAGTACAATCCCCAGAGAACTCTTTAAAAATATACAAAAATATATACCAAAAAATATATACATTAAAATGAAATACTAAGAAATGCTCAAATAATCTAATAAAGTAGCAAAGAAAAACAATGGAACAAAAACAGAGAGGAAAAATGGAATACAAATAATAAAATGGTAGACCTAAGTCCAAACATAAATAATGACCTTAAGTCATGCCAATGACTAAATATGCCAATTAAAAAAGAGATTGTCAGAAGGTTTTTAAAAAAATAACCCAACTATATGCTATTTATAAAAAACTCACTTCAAATAAAATTATATAGGTACATTAAAAATAAAAAGATGAAAAAATATATATACCAAGTAAACACGAATCCAAAGAGAGCTGAGTAGTAGACAAACATCAGACAAAATAGACTTCAGAGCAAAGAAAATTAATAAGGATAAAGAGGAACATTGCATAATGATAAAAGGGTTAAATAACCAAGAAGACATAAATCCTAAATGTATGTGCAGTTAACAACAGAGCTTCAAAATACATGGAGCAAAACCTGACAGGACTCAAAGAAATAACAGACAAACCCATAATTACAGTTGTCAACTTAAGTACACTTCTCTCAGTAACTGACAGAACTAGTAGACAGAAAACAGCAAGGGCATAGGAAAACTAAACAGCACTTTGACCAACTGGATCAAAAGATATTATCAATAGGAGAATGGTTGAATAAACCCTAACATCTTCACAACCAAGGCCACCACATACTACACAACTCCAGGGGTCCTTGCACATAAATTATGAGTTGTGTGGTGCATGAACGGCTTAAGTGTCTGTAGTGGTTCTGCCCACACTTTAGAATACTATGGATCCTTTAAGAAATAAGAATTAGTTCACTTGGAGGTATTTCTACGATTTTCGAAGGAGAAAAACAACATACAGAAAAGCATACATGATATGGTCCCATTTTTATAAAGCAAACAGGAACATACACACACGTATGTGCATATGTATATTTGAGAATGACGGTAAGTGGAAGGATGCATACTTGGTTGGCAAGCAGGTGAGTGAGGTGAATAATACAGATGGAGGAGGGGACAGAACAGTGGGATAGGGACCCAAACCAAAAAAAAAGAAAGAAAAAGAAAAAATTAGCTGCACTTAAAAAATATGATCACATTTATGCACTTAACGCAAAATAATGGGTATCTGTAGAAGTAATTTTTATAGTCTTAAATATGAAAAATATTTCACTGTTACTTAACACCTTCCAATGATTTGTTATTGTATAAAATCTGAATTCCTTACCATGACTGATGTGATCTGATCTTTGTCTACCTCTCCAACTTTATGTGCCTCTACTGTCCCCTCCTTGTGTCTCTTTCTGGACTCAAGCCCTTTGCAATTGCAGTTTTCTCTGCCTGCTAGGCTTTTGCTGTAGGTTTGCACTACCGGCTTCCCCTCATCTGTGGAAGCCACAGGTGCCTACCCAATAAGCCACCCTCACCTTCCTCCTTACCAATAGAGCACTGATTTTATTGGGACAGCAAAACCTCATTTACAATACTTGACCTCCCAGCTTGCCCTGTAGCTAGGAGTGATACAATTCTGGTCGATGGCAGCTAAGTGGAAGTTACTAGGCATGGCCTCCTGGGAAGCTCTTTAAAAGAGCTGCACCAGCTGCGTCCTTTACCTCCCCCTTCTCTTTCTGCATTTTCTTGCCATGGAAACGGTTATGTGAGGCTAAAGCAAAGGTTCTCAAGGTGTGGTCCACAGATCAGCAGTCCAGGCATCACCTGGGAGCTCGTTATAATGCAAATCACTGGGCCCCGCCCCAGACCCACTGAATCAGAAACTCTGAGTGTAGGGCCCAGCAATCTGTGTCAACAGCTGTTCAGGTGAGTCTTAAGCATGCTGAAGTTTGAGAACCACTGAGCTAGTGGACAGAAGCCTCCCTAGAGATGCCTCCTTAGACGATGGATGAAGACTAGTACACCTATGACATCACAGATCCACTGCATCAGACTTGGACTGCCTCCTCTAAACTTGGCGGTTATGTGAAAAAGTAACCCCTTTTGGTTAAGCCACTATGATTAGGTTTCTGTTCCTTGCAACTGAATGCAATTCTAGTTGATAAATCATCTTCTAAACCTTGGCTCTAACATTGTCTCTTTAGAGACAACTTCCTTAACTACTCTGCTTATACCCTCTATCCCCACCAAAGTCCTTCTCTATCATGCCATCCTGTTTATTTTCTTTATAGCACTCAGTACACAGTGAAATGATCTCAGTTATTGTTTATTTGCTTATGGTCCATTTCCCCTGAGGAATGTAAGCTTCACAGGGGCAGGACCTTTGTCTTTTCACTGCTGTACTCTAGCACATACTGACGTGTCTTGTACATAATGGATGCCCCATTATTATTTATGGAATGATTTAAAGAACTTTAAAATTAGATGTCACATTTAAAATCATGTATTTTTAAGTTAAAAATAGAACTACCCTACAATTCAGCAATCACACTACTGGGTTTTTACCCAAAAAATACAAAAATACTAATTCAAAGGGATACATGCACCCCTATGTTTATAGCAGCATTATTTACAATAGCCAAGATATGGAAGCAGCTTGATGAATGGATAAGGAAGATGTAGTATATATATATGTGTGTATGTGTGTGTCTGTGTCTGTGTGTATATATATATATATAGTGGAATATTTATTATACAGCCATAAAAAAAGAATGAAATCTTGTCATTTGCAACAACATGGATGGAGCTAGTGTAATGCCAAGTGAAATAAGTCAGAGAAAGACAAATACCATATGATTTCATTCATATGTAGAATTTAAGGAAAAAGACAAATTAACAAAGGGGAGGGAGGGAGAGAGAGAGAGAGAAGCCAAGAAATAGACTCTTAACTATAGAGAACAAACTGATGGTTAGCAGAGGGCAGGTGAGTGAGGGGATGGGTTAAATAGGTGATGGGGATTAAGGAGGGTATTCTCATGAGCACAGGGTGATGGATGGAATTGCTGAATCACTATATTGTACACCTGAAACTAACAATATAACACTGTATGTTAACTAATTGGAATTAAAAACTTAAGAATAAAATCATGTATTTTTAAAGTAGACAAATAAAAAAATGGTTCATTACAGTTTCAAAATTTTAAGGAAAAAATTTTATTTGAGAAATCCATACACCTGTAAAAAAAAATGCATATGATACAGAAGGGTCCTCTATGCTTGCCCAAGAACACTTTCTCCCTTACTCATGAGTGGCCTATCAATTCCAAAACCATAAACAACTAGCAAAATAGTAATGTAAATATTGAAGGTGCCACAGAAATGAACTGCATGAGTTCAGTATTTTTTTGGTAACCTTGTCTTTCCATTGACATCATTTCGTGCTACCCCAATCAATGTGGGAGACTTGTTAATAACAAAACTTCATACAGCATTTAAACACAAACATTCAAATAAGAACAAAAATTCTAATTAATCTTCATATGTATGCCAGAGAACACACACGATTAGGTTTTAACCTTGGAGAGAAAGCATTCTCTTCACCCACATCCCTACTATTTTACTCTCCTAGTAATCTCAAGTTTGGTCCAAGACAAACATCACTGAAAATAAATGAGGTCTTCTCTGGCATCAGCCCATGAAGGCGCATTGCAGGAGAGAATTCAGATTGAGGATTCCCCAGAGATGAACCTGGGGTCTCTACTTGTGAGAGTGACCCAAGAAGATCCCGCATTCCTGCACTGGGAGAGGTCAATTTTCTTTCTCCTGTTTTACCTCCTATAAAAGTGCTCTCATCAACCTTTGGAAGTCTATATCCTTTGGTTTTTCTAAAATAAGTTGTTCTGTAACATTTAAGTAAAGTGTATATTTTTTTCTGTGAAGCACAGAATAATTAAAGAGAAGAAAGTGTAGCGTTTCTGACACAGGTCCCCATCCACTCTCTCTCTCAAGGCTCCTAGGATCTAGATGGGCCTCCTTGGCGCCCCCTCCACGGGGTAAGGAAAGCAGCAGAAAAGTGCCAGAGGCAGGATGGCAGGCTGTTCACTAAGGGAAAAAGGAGCCTTGAGATTTGGTAAGACCATTTTTCCCTTTCTCACAGAATCAGGAAAGCATATCAAACAGAGCTTCTTGGGAGACCCTTCCAAATAGTTGGAGCTGGAAGAACTTCAGGTCAGTAGCATCCCAAGTGAAAACTTTTAGGAAGCCCCCAGAAGCTGGCCTCAGCCCTCAGCCCAACATGGCAGATTTTCCTTTGACTTCACTAGTGCAATAATCTTTTATCTTATGAGAGGCTATGACCTCATGTTCGTACTGGAATACCTTCCACCTGGAATGGCATCAGAACCAGCATCAAACGTGCCAAGCTCACACTGGTAATGACAACATTCTGTAAGGCAGGGTTCTCATTCTGTAAGGCAGGGTTCTCACTCTTAACAGGTCATCAGAATGATCTGGGGGTCTTGTTTACAATAACGTGGGTTCTGGAGCTTCACTCCCAGAGGTTCCGATTCAGTAGGTCTTAGGCGGGATGTAGGAGTCTGCATTTTCAACAAGCCTCCCCAGGTGATGTGACGGAGGTGGTGTGGAGGCCTACAGCCTGAGTAATACTGGCTTCAGAGGGAGGGGCCAGAATCACTTCTTTCCCATAATAAGACCTACTGTAGACAGTGACCCAAGGCCACCAGACTACCCAAAGTGTTCTCCTTGAAGAGGTCTCCAGTGGGGAGGTCATTTACACTCATTCTCAAAGGCTCAGGGAGTGAGTCTCCGTGGTGCCCAACTCTATAAAAGAACCAAAACTTGGGTTCATACTTGACTGAACTTGAGGATAAGTAGCAAAGTCCTAAAGTACCAGAAAAGTCTTGATTGTTCTGGGCAAGGGGCCCATAGCACTTTTTTTTTTTTCCTTTTCCCTTCTTCCTTTTCACTGATGTCGAGCTAAGGAAGCCAAATAGACCCACACAGACAATACGTTGTTTGGGTATGGGTGAATGTATACAGCCAGAGCAAATTCTGTCTGGGGAAATTCAGAAGAATGAATTCCAGTTTGATACACAGCATCAATAATTGACTGTAAATCAGTGTAAGGCATCTGGATAGGAAATCCTGTGACCTAGACAAAAGACAGAATGACGCGTAAACCCATGCTATAATTATGTAGGTAATCAGGAATCACTGTATGCAAAAATATTACAAAAGCCTCAAAAAATGATAGTCATAAAATAATAAGTTATTTTATAGGTGCTTATGATATCCTAGGAACAGGACTAAATGCTTCACATACATATTTAATCCTCAAACAACTTTATGAAGTAGGTTCTACTATAATCCCCACTTTCGAGAGAGAGAGAGGAGCAGAGCCAGAGCTGAAACCAGAGCATGCACACTCAACACTCCACATACTTGCACCCTTTCTAGAATAGCAACCTGCCTATGAAAAAATTACCTGGTCCTACAAATGAGGTATTGAAGTAAGCATTATGGGAGAATTTATTTAACACTGATTCAGTTCATATTTCTTAAGTGACCACCATGTGACGGGATTAAAGGATTATAGTACATGGTCCTACGTAAAATCATCTATTTAATAATACACAGACAACAATCATACACCTCTTTCAAGCCTTAGATTTCTTACTTCAGGAGGCTTTTCTTGATCCTTAAATCTGTTCATGTGTCCTTCCCATGTGGTTGCAATAGGTTGCTATCCTTTCCTATGTTACTTAATAAAATATATTGCAATTATATGTTTTCTGGTCTGTTTCATTAGCCTATAGTCTCTGTGAATGCACTAGATTGTATCTGCCTTGTTTATGGTCATAACCCCAGTGCCTAACACAATGCTTGGCACATAAAATACAAATAATAATTAACATTTGCTAAACACTTGCTGAGTGCTGGGTGCTGTGGTTAATCCTCACCATAACCACAAACCAGATAACCATTTTTATCCCTGTTTATCTTGCCCAGTAGGGTGGAAAGTACAGAGAAGTTAGGTTACTTGGTCAAAGCTAGTGAGTGATTGAACCAGGGTTTGAATCCAAGCCACAGGATTCAGCTCAGGTTTATGATTGTGCGTTATTAAATAGATAATTTTACAAAGAAATTCTAAGCTTTAAACCTTGGCTTATATTGCTTTGCCTATCTGTTTACCCCTAATTCTTTTTTTTAATGCAAAAGAGCTTCCTCCCTATTCACGAAAAAACAGCACCTGCAGCTCCTCCCACCTGACAGCCTAAGTACTGAACTCTCAACAGATTCTTTCTTTTCTTCTCTCATAGGGTTTCCCTAGGAGATATCTCCTAGCCTGTGGGATAGTAGGGGGAAAGAATCTCACTTTTGGGAGGCTGGGGCTTTGAAAAACCCACCGGACCAGTTCATAGGGAAGAGTCAGTGAGAGGATATCCAGAGCTGGGGGTAGGTAGAGGAAAAGAAGGAGGGCCCTAGCAATATACCAAATGCCCATGTTTGGTTATGAACTTGTTGAGTTTGAGATGCCTTTTAACCATCCAGGATGATGTCAAATGTGTTGGTAAATATGTAAGAGAGGAGGTCAGGAGAGAAGTCCAGGCTGGGTACATACATTTGGAGTATTTTGCATATAAAAGATATTAAAGCTTGCCTGGAGTCCTCTTGCCCAGAACCAAGGACAGGGAATCTATTCTATTACTACCACCAAGGGATCATTTTTCAATTTCTCAGTTGCAGGTGATTTCCTTTTGGTCATCTCTTTCCAGAGGTTGTGGTTTATATAACATACAATATATGACTGATTCCAAGAAAATGTCAAGCAGTGTGGTCATGGTAATAGCTGTTCAGTATATCTGAAATTTCTTAGTCTATAAATAAATGTATTTTAATGTCATATCATCTATCATCCAGGATCAAGATAACAGCATTTCAGGGATATTTAAGGCTACTATTACCTAGTAATGAACAAAATAGATAAAACAAATGTTATTAATGCACTAAATCATATACACACCCAATAAAATTGTAGTAGTCTTTCAAATTCACTCTCTTCTTCAGATGAAACAAAGCTTCCAGTGCCAAGTTCTAGTTTAGGAAGGATTTTTCGCAAAATATAAGTGCATTGTCGATTCCAACGTGTCGGCTGTTTAGGTCGCCATTCCATCATTTTACATTTCAGAGTCCTTTCAATCCTAACGAAAGAATGCAAAGATTAGTTTATGACAAATTACAATTTGTTTAATAAATGTGTAAGAGTTGTGGCACTTTGCTCAAGTATGAGAATATTTTTTTTATTTAGGATGAACCAGACCTCTATGGCTAAGGTTATCTGCCATCATTCACATTATTAAGTTGGGGAGAAGCAGCTCTTGCTTGGCTTGGGAAAGCAAGAAGCTTCCTGAGGTAGCCAACAATGAGATCTCAGGGGCACAGCTCTTTTCCAGTTACCTGTGTGTAGGCAGCTGCCTATTGGGTGTGATGTGACAACCATCTACTGTCTGGTCACTGGACTGACATCCCCATTCTCCAGGCCCCCCCCTGCCATAAAACATTGTTTCCAAGAAACTGCATTTACCAAAATTCAGATATCTGGTCTGGGTGATGTTAGCAGGGATGGATTTATTAGATCAGTTAATTCAGCAGGCAGAGTTGGAAGGAAGTAGGCACAGACTGATAAGTATGATGATCAGGTTCCCCTACTAGAATGTACCCTCCGTAAGGGCAGGGATTTGTGCCTGTATATTCAGCCCCTAGAGCAGTGCCTGCTGGTAGACTGTTCCAGGGACAGTGCAGGTTGGATTGATGGGGCCCCCTTGGGAAGCCTCATCTCTGCACAGAATCAGTGTGTGCTCTAAAAAAAAAGCCACTGGGAGTCTCCTCTTGGCTGTCTGTGGTGTAACCAAGCAGTTTAGAGTTTGCTGTCTCAGTAGTGGCTAAGCATCAGAATCGCTAATAGGGCTTTATCAACGTATTTTACCTCCAGATACTGATTCAACAGGCTTGGTCTGGGACCCTGACATCTGTATTTTTAAATAGTTCTAGAAGTGATTCTGATAAAAAACCAGAAGCTGGGAATCATTTCTCTACCCCATTTCTTCCTTTTTTTTGTTAAGAATTGAGGAAAAAGGAAGGGACTACGAGGTGGGAGTTGTGTGCTAGTGAGAGAAGAGAGTAGCAAAATTATTTTTGTCATGCTTTGTTTTGATCGGTTGGTAGCAGCTTATGGGGCAGCCTACTATGTCAGAATGAGTCACTGAAGGCAGTAAGATCTAGAAGCTTCTGACACATCTGGAGTAGGAGTAAGGCCTGCTGCAAAGTTTGTGACTTTGACAAACTTGTTCAGCTTGACTGAATAATTCCTTAGGGCACGTGTGTGTGTGTGTGTGTGTGTGTGTGTGTGTGTGTAAGGGAAGGGGGGAGTGCTAGCGGTGGGTGTGGGACAGTATTGATGTTACCACCCAACTTGGATGTTTCTTCCATACTCCAAGTGGTGGGCCATTTACCTTCATATCCTTTCAAGAAGTATTAGCTACCACATTATTATTATTACTCTAACGTCAACAGGTGTCTGTGTTGAGAACTTCCCAACAGCAGCCTCACAATGTTTCCAGAGGCAACCATTTTTTTACTTCGATGGTCTTTTTAAGGAGTGTTCTGGAATGGCAGAGGGGCTGCTTTTCGATGCACAGACCAAAAGACAGCTGACTCAGTGGAAGAGACTATTATAAACTCCATTTCCTGCTTCTATTGAGGAATCGAAGAGGTGTTTTGAGAGACTGGGTTAGAGGGCTGAAAGGTGGAAGGAGGACTGAAAGACTCGGGAGAAAACGTAGTAATTGTAAGATACAAATAAAGGTGATACCTGTTCTTTAGATCTTCTATCATGCTTTTATTAGTCTCACAATAAATAATTTCTTCAGGCTGAAATGTACAGACAATTGAAAGTCAAAAAAGATTCTAGGGAGACAACCTTTACATTGCGGTCACCCCTGGAGTGCGAACTATAACAAGGGGAACCCAAACCCCTTTCATGTGGCAAAATCACTCCACTACAGAGGCACAAAGGTAAAACACAGATCACAGTGCTTCCTTTGATTTTAGTACTACTTTACCAGAGCACAGGATGAGGAATTAGGGTATTTTTCCTAGATGAGACAGAGCTGCTGCCCACGCTCATTTATTCAAACAAGCATTTGCCATATTTATCGAAGAGACCAGATAGCCTTTGGCAAGCTGCTTTAGTCTCTTCCACTGATTAACTGGGGTCTTAAAGTAACTTAACCTGAGTCTCAGTTACCACATCTTTAAAAGAGGGACAATAATAGTACTGACTTCCCTAGGGTCTTGTGAAGATTTTGAAATAAAGTAATACACGCAGAGCCTGGCACATATTGTTCAATAAAATCAGGTATTATTGTTATTACTACTCCTTTAACATGGTTTATCATCTTCCTTCTTTGAGTATCCTTTTCTTTCAGCTTGCAGGAGCTGGGTCTTTTTATTTGCGTGCGTGCGTGCGTGCGCGCGTGTGTGTGTGTGTGGTCCATTTCAATTTCCCCTGTCTCCAAGCCATTGTAAAAACAGCAGAGAGCAATGCTCTACCACGTTCCCCATATTCCCTTCCCTGCCCTGTGGGATTTGCTGAGAGGAGAGGGGACTCCTTAAGTCTACCACCCAAACCAGCCCTCCCCGCCCTATCTCGCAGGGCTCACGCGGACAAGAAGGAGGGGCTGGGTTTAGACATTCTTACTTTGGGCATTCCTGAACTGAGAAACAGAGAAAGCTGTAGAGACAGGGACACGAGTGGAGGGAGGGTTGTGCAAAAAGACGGCAACAGTTCTTAGACCTCTAGGTGCTAGAATATCTCAGGAGTGATCCAGCAGATTCAGTCACGTGGTGATCTAAGCCAGTGGTTCCTGAAGTGTGCCCCCCACCCCCACCCCAGACCAGCAACCTCACACCTGGGAACCTGTTAGAGATACAACTTCTCAGTCCCCACATGGGACCCACTGAATCAGAAACTCCGAGGGCAAGGCTGAGCACTCCATGTTTCAGCAAGCCCTCCAGGGTTCTGGGGCCTGCCGTGGACAGATGTGATGACAGGCCCAGGCACAGGGAGCTTCCCCACAACAGCTGCTGGCAGGAGATGGGAGGCACTGCAGAAAGGGAACTATGAACTCCAGCGTCATGTTGCAGGGCCACCAGCTCTCCCAGACAGGACAGGTAAGCCGAATGCCTTTATTGCTGCCACCAACCACTGTGCAACCCTCCAACACCTCCACTCCCTCCCCCACACCCTCTCTCCAGCAGGTAACTCTTGTGGATTCCTGAGGCCACCTTCAGGCCCGAAAAAGAGGCCTGGGTTATGTTAACTCAGTACAAATACCTCATAAAGGTATTTGTCCACTTTCCTTTTTTGGCAAAGTCCCCTTTCTTTCCGGGAATTCCTATCTTTATAAAACTTCAAGAGGATTTCCCTGTTAACTTCATCTCTGCATACCCACATACTCACCTTAGACGCCTAAATTTGTGTCTGCGATCACGATACAGAAGTGTTCACTACAGATAGCAGTTTATTTTGGGATGTGTGTGGCAAGACAGAAGATTGAGGGCCATTAACCCACAGGAAAGAAATCAGTAGAGATACAAGCCAAACGCAATTCTGAGTTTTATATTTATAGATTCAACTTGGCAAAAGGTTTTGTTTCTGCGCTCAGGCGAGTGGCTTTTAGAAACTACAGCTGTGATCATGGCAGCCTTGCTTTAGTGCTGTTGGCTTCTGATTGCCCTGAGACACAGGGCCACATCCTTAGCAGGACTCTGCTCACCTCTGAGCTTGTCTTGCTCACTCCCTGGCACGGCCAAGCTGCCTTTCAGCTGCTCCCCAGATCCCTCCATGCCCCGCACGTCTGCTGTATCCTCGCTCTGCTGCGTGGTTGTCCACCCTGAGTTTCCCCTCAGCCGGCTCCTGCTCACCTTCCTCCCTTTGCCCCTCATCCCGTTTTCCCAGGAAGCCCAGAAACTGTCCTTTCCCTCAGGTCCTCCAGCTGCGTGCTCCCAAAGCACACTCATTTCTTCTGTAATCACATTTACCACTCTGTCCTGCAAGGGCTTCCTTCTCTTTGCTCCTTGAGAACACAAGCCTCCGGACTACTGAGACATGTCTTTCCTTGTGGAACCGATGCCTGACATGGCACTGGCTCAGCAGGCATGTGAGACGCATTCACTAAACGCCTAACAGACTGATTAATAGTACACATAAAACCTCATCTCTATATGTACAGTTCTCCTCCCTAGGAGGCAGCAATCCATCAGTCACAACTTTGGGAGGGCAAAAGCAAGGCATGGCCTGTGGATGCTGAAAGTGCTTGCTCAAGAGAGATAAGCGCATTTCCCCTTCTTTAAAATGACTTTACAAACAGGAAATATAAAAATATATATATATGCTTGCAATATGTGGAGAATGTTTAGAAGGACGCACAAGTTACTACTAAGAGTGGTTATTTCTTAGTGAGGAAAAATGTTGAAGGCGAGGGACATTCTTTATACAGTTTAGTACTGTTTGATCCCTTCCCTGCAACCGTCATGCATTCTTTTTGATATTGTCAAATGCCTCAAATACACAGACAAGCATTGAGAATAATGTAATGAACATCCACTCAACATACCTACCACTTAGCTATATCTAATATCTGCATTCTTCTGTATTTGTTTTAGATTTTTTAAAAAGAAGTAAAACATTACAGACAGACTTGAAGTACTTTGTATGTTGCTCCCTGATCTCATTCTGTTTTTTGTCTCCAAAGGTAGCCTTTAACCTAAATTTGGTGTTTATCATTCCTATGAATGCTTTTACATTATCACTATGTGTCTATATATATATAAACAACACATAGTTTTCAAACTTTTATTATACAAGTGGTTTTGTACTCTATGTGTCATTTCACATATTCTTTGTTTTGCTTAATATTTTAATTTTTAAAGTTTTTTAATATTCATTCATGTTGATGTGCATGGCTCTAGATCAGTCGTTCTCAACCTCGGCGGCACGTTGGAATCACCCGGGGAGCTTTAAATAATAATACAGGTGTGCGAGTTCCACCCTCAGAGATTCTGATGTAATTGATACACAGTCCAAGTTGAGAACTAGTGTAAATTGTTTTTTTTTTTTACTACTATATAGAAGATTTCATAGTATGAGTACTTCATAACTCATGTATTCTTTTTCTGGTGGATGAATTGTTTCGTTCTTTCCTTTTTTTAAAAAATATTTTATTTATTTATTTGACATAGAGACAAAACGAGAGAGGGAACACAAGCAGGGGGAGTGGGAGAGGGAGAAGCAGGCTTCCCGCTGAGCAGGGAGCCCGATGCAGGGCTTGATCCCAGGACCCTGGGATCATAACCTGAGCTGAAGGCAGACGCTTAATGACTGAGCCACCCAGGTGCCCCCCCCTTTTTTTTAATCTATTTTTGCTATTTCAAGCAATTCTATAATGAACATTATTGTACTTGTCTCCCTGTGCTTGCTCCTTTATGGTATATACTTAGAAGTTGAATTGGTGGATCAAAGATTGAGCATCTTCAGTTTTATCAGATATCATCATAATGCATTCCAAAGTATTTATAGCAATTTACCTTCCCACCATTTCTCTGCTTCTTTGCCAACACTTGGTATGATCACACTTACAATTTCTTTTGTCAATTTTATACATGTGAAGTAGTGTTTTATTGTTTTAAATTTTATTTCTCTGATTGTGAGTGAGATTGAGCATTCAAGTTCCTGCTTCTATGAACTGTTTTCTGCCTGTTTTTCTACTTTTTTTTTTCTCTCACTTTCTCTGAGCTCGTAGCTCTTAGTTTATGGATTTTGCCGTTGCTTGCACCTGCCGTGCCTTGGCCCTCAATCCAGAAACAGCCACAGAAGTGAAATTTGGGGTGCTCTCACAAAGTGACACTAGTCCACTGCAGATCCACAGGCTGAGCCATCTGTGGTCATTAGGTTGTTCTTGACCTCAGGTGTGAGGTGCTTCCTCCTCCTGCCTCTTATGCCCCAGGCAGTGAGTCTGCAAGCGTTCCTTCCCCATCTTCTTTCAAGAGTAGTGAAGTAGGAAGCCCCATCACAACCCCTGACTCCAAAAAGTGGGACTGACTCTGGTTCCCTGGATTTCATGAACCATTTTCAGACCTTGCTGCTGTCGCCTGTTCGGCCCTACTCACTGCTAGTATTTCTGTCCTGTTTCTATTCCATGAGACAATCATCATGGTTTGGAGCCCAGATAAGCCTTCTATTTTTCAATTTTTATATTTTACCATTGCCACGGATGTGGAACAGAAGAGCTAGGTCAAAGTAAACTTATCGCACCATCTTAACATTATATTTTCAGTTTTAGAATAAATATTTAAAAATTTTTACTTTAAAATCTAAATTCACATTTAAGATGATACCTTTTTCTCAACTCTTCTTTTCTGCAAGCAGAGGAGTATGGTTAGACTAGCCCAAACTCAGGCTGGATGGCGAAGAAAACTAGATTTTATTAATATTGCCAGGTAAATCAACATGCAACCAGCTATATAAACATAACAAGAGATGGCATGACTGGCAAAGATTAGAACAAATGGGAACTTTCATACAGACACACCTGGAAAAATATAATTTACCTGTATGGTATGTGCTTTTGTCCCTTGGAAATTTTTTGGAAGCAACTGTTTCCAGAAACTTTCCTTTGAATAGTCAAAATGTACAGCCATCGGTGTATTGTTTTGTTGAATATTAAACCAGACCTATTAAAATATAAACATAAAATCAGTATAGGCACATGGGAGCACAAAGGCCCTACCTGGTTAGGATGGAGCAAAATTTTACAGTCCTACTACCAAATGAAGTGGGAGAAGCCAAAGGAGGTTCTGAGGTAGGAAGTAAAGCGATTCTAGGGGTATGTAAACATTAGACTGATTACTGGTGCTCAGTCTTGGAGGCGCTACAGAATCACCTGAGAAACTTTATGGATAAAAGATTTCCCTGGCTCTATATCTCAGGGATTCTAACTGAACATCTGTAGTCTCCTCAGAGTTTTCCACACAATTCTAATGTAGAGCAAGGGTAGAGGTCCACTGTTTGACTCTTCAGGCGATAACTCAAAATAAAGATTCCGCACCCCCCACCCTCGCCATATACTTACATTTCCATCATCAAACAAACAGTCTACACTTTGTAAGGGACAAAATGGGTCAAACTGCTTATGACATTGCCCAGTTAATGGATTCCAAAGCAAATATTCATCAATTTCTTGAGTTAATACATAAGCCACTTGTCCCTATATGAGGAAAAAGAGTTAAAGTCATGTTTGGTGGGTGGTTGATTTAACTCATTTTTGTATGTGGAAATTATAATGTAAGTATGTGTTATCTTTGATTTCTAAAAGGCTTTTTTAGGGTCTTCGAAGTCTTTTTGAAAAGCAAAAAAGCCAAAGCTCCAGAAATCCTCAGGCCCAGGCTAGCATGAAGATTCAAATAAGAGAAATTTTGAGCTGGTACTGCCATGTACAGCCCTGTAGGGTGTACCCCCGCAGCAGTAAAACATGTTGTTCTAGAAAAATCCGTATACTATGACAACAGCTAGCACTGAAATGTTTTGAGGTAGGGATACTTTGGCCTAATTCACACAAAGGCACTACAGGGATTAGCCCTGCTTTGAGTGGAATATACTTGGGGACTGAAGGGAAACACCACGCAGAGTTAGGAAATGGACACTTGCCTAAGGCTCTGAAAAAGCCAAATGAAGTTAAAAAGCCATTAAGTTAATTTTGAGAACAAAATCTGAAGTTAGAGGCTAGAGAGAAAGTATATAGGAAGCCATCTGAGGAATAAAAGTAGTCATTATGTTACTATTCTGTTCTGAACATACCTTTTTAAGTTCAAAGTTTTCTTAGAAAAGAATAACAATTTCAGGTAATAATAATAAAGACTATTGAACATTTATTGGGAATTTATGTGCACCAGGTATCGTGCTCAACATTCACACGAAATTTTTTCACTTGCATTCACTTCAAATTCTTTGAGATGGAGTGATCATTATGCCCATCTTCCAGATAGAGTCAGAGGTTGAGGGGCTTGTCTAGCATAACAGTAAATGGCATTAGTTCTGTTTAGGGAGAGGATAACTGAAGCTCAGAGAAGTAAACAAGCTAAGATCACACAGTTAGTAAACGGCATTGCTGGGTTTTAAACCCCTCTTTGACTGACTCCCAAACACAAATTCTTAACACTGGGCCGTGTAGCCTGGTCTCTCCAAGGCTCTTGTTCTTTATCACTGTGCTCATCTTCTTTACAACAAAGAGGAGGCCTCACCTCAACCACAGAGCTGAGGTGAAACACAGCTGAGGTGCCACCCATGGTGTTGACTCACAGGCGCAAAAGCAACCGGTTGTTGAAATGTTGTCGACTGTTTACTGCCATCTAGTGGCACTTAAAACTACACAGGGGGATGGCAAGGGGGGAGATTAACTAACACTGGCTTTTAGCTTGCAAATGTGGCAAAAATAATAAGCCATGCCAAGGAAATATAGAGAAATAAGTGATCATAACACAAAGCCTAAAACCGGACTGGAAATCTTGACCCTTATCAAGATATTCATGGTAGAAATAGAAACAATCCAAAAGACGATAGCTTTCTGGAGGTATGAATGCAGGAGCATATTTAAGTTGTAAAAATTTCAGGTAGGTAAACACAAATTTCAGACCCACATCTTGTATGACTAAAAACTGAGGAAGGAAGAATAGGGAGAAGTATTTCTTAAGGATCTTTAACTCCATTATTAGAAAGTTATAAAGATGATGGTGGTTGATAGTTAACAACCACTACGACTACTGCTATGACTATTATTACATCACCACCACCACTACCACCATAACCACCATTTTGAGTATTTACTATGAACCAAGGTGCCGTTCTCAGTGTCACATATTCACTGTGTAATTTAATATCTTAGTAACCCCATGAAGTAGCACTATTATTAGGACAGCTTTACAAAGAAAAGTGAAGGAAAGCCTTTCTTTACATTGTGGTCATTTTGATGAGCCAACAGTATCCTCTTAACTAAATAACTGGTTGCACATGAAATTCCCGAATTAGCTTGTGAAAAGGCAGAAAACTGGGTTTGGTGTCTTTTAAACTTGCAGCTGAAGGCTGATTAGTTTTGTTTACACTATTTAAGTATTAACTCCAGCACTTACTTCCAACATTGAGGTCCCCAGGAGGACCAAAGCTTTCTTTCCAAAATACAGAAAGAAATTACAGAGTAGTATGGCATGCTCTTCCTTATTTCCAGTAGCCAAACTGATGCAGCGCTAAGGCAAAGCAAAAGCAAAAAGGCCAAAAGAAAACAGAAGAGAAAGTTGAGTAATGTAAGCAGCCAACAGATTTAGAGCCTCCCTGTTCCCTCCAGGTTCAAAGCTCCGATACCTGTGCCTGAGAAAACACTGGGAAGAACACTAACTTGGAATATAGGGGTCACCCTTACTATGGGACAATTAATGTGGATACTGTGTAAGTGACCAAATAGTTCATCATCCAAAAATAGGATATTTCTGCTTAGGACAAATATTAAACTGCCCTTGGAAAACAGGGACAGACAGACTGATATTTTAAGAAACCTCATCTGATAGGAAATCACATAGAGTTTTTAGAGGAAAGGATCCTTTGGTCAATGGAGCTTCACTCTGTCCAATACCAATATAGTGCTCTCAACTCAAAGAGAGGAAGAAGATGGAGTTTAAGCCCAATCAGGAAGATGATTGAAACTTCTTCAACTGGAAGAGCGGGGTGGGGGGAGACTCAGGGGTACTAGTATATACCTGGTTATTTTTTAGATATTTTAGAGGCTCTTTCAATGTTCTGTGGGATCATAATACCCATGAACATATTCTGATTAGGTCAAAGAGTCTAAAGTTAATGACAACTCTTTGAGTTCTACTAGATTTGAATCACTGAATCACTAGAACCACATGCTTGTGTTTCCCTTTGCAGAAGAAGACAGGGTAGCTGACTAATTAAGTTAGCCCTGTGCCCCCTAAATCCGTTTCAGCTCAACTCTAGCCTCTAAAACATTCCAGATTAAGTGCCAGGACCATTGGTTCCAGATGGAAAGTGTCCCTCTCTTAGGCTCCTGTCATACTAGTAATTTTCAGTTAATAGTATTTATTGAATGCTTGCTAAATTTACATAAAAATATAAAAAAATAAATAATCAAGTCTACTTCATTCAGAGGTTAAACTTGGGATATATATGTACAGAGTGTGGGTGCAGGGTCAATATATAAGCAACTAAATATAATTTAGGGTGAAATGAAAAAACTGCTCTAATTAGGGTTGCCAGATTTGGGGGGAAAAGTAGATGACTAAATAAATCTGCACTTCAGATAAACAAATGTTTAGTATAAATATGTCTCAAATATTACATGGGGCTTGTATTCTAGTTGGCAACCAATCTAAAGAGAACTTTAATCCAAGTGCTAAGGAAGAGCATTGCTGTGTAAGCTCTTCATTCAGATGTGGGGAGGCTGGGCAAAGCTTCTGAGAAGTGGTGGTATTTGTCCTAGACGCAGCATCTGTCCAGCTCCATGGTGACAAGCCATATTTCTCCCTGGAGGATGTCATAATATTGTACTCCTGGGATTCCCATCGAATTAAAATATTCATGAGCTACCTACCACTTATAATGTTGAATAAGGTTGTTCCTCTTTAAGAATTATTTCTATGGATTGTTATAGAGCTGAAAACAATGTATTATCAAATGCTTTCAAATTTCACAAGACAAAGTATTTCATAAGTGCATAAATGTTTCTTTAGGAGAAAGGTAAGAAATACTATATATTTTAATTATAAAACATAATGGGGGCGCTTGAGTGGCTCAGTTGGTTAAGGTCCGACTCTTGGTTTTCACTCAGGTCTTGATCTTATGGGTTGTGAGATCTAGCCCCATGCAGGGCTCTGTGCTTAGTGGGGAGTTGGCTTGAAATTCTCACCCTCTGCCCACCCCCCACTCATGCATGCACACACTCTCTCTCAAATAAATAAATAAAACATAATTCGTTACCTCTGATGTCATCCATATGTCAAAACCATCATTTTCATCCAGAATATCAGGCACAATAGGAATCAAAGATACAAAGCGAGCAATGAGGTCCTAGAATAATATAAACTAACATTAAGTGCATACTACATGCCCATCACCAAGCACAGTGTTTTACATGCAATATCATCACATTTAGTGCATCCCACAAGCCCATCAAATACATACTATTATTACTTTTGTTTTACATAAGAGGAAACAAGTATAGAATGCTAAGATAACTTGCCCAGGATCACAGAGCTAACACAATGTATGGAGTCTCTGGGAATAAGCCCAAGTTAGCCTGACTCCAGAGAATGCCTATTAACCATTACACTTCACTGTAATAAATTATTAAAGTTTTAAACATGATATATGTTATATACCTTAAATTACAACTGTTAAGAATTTTTTAGAAAGATATTGAATAGCAAAAGTTTTATTTGCTTTTTCCAAATCGATCAGAATTATTCTTTTTTTGCCAAAATTTTATTTATTTATTTATTTGAGAGAGAGAGAGAATGAGAGATAGAAAGCACGAGAGGGAAGAGGGTCAGGGAGAAGCAGACTCCCTGCTGAGCAGGGAGCCCGATGCGGGACTCGATCCCGGGACTCCAGGATCATGACCTGAGCCGAAGGCAGTTGCTTAACCAACTGAGCCACCCAGGCGCCCTCGATCAGAATTATTCTTAATACAAGCTTGTTACAAGCTGTTGGAGCAGGAAAATGGTGCTGGAGACAAGGGCTCAGACTAAAGTAGGAAAGGAGAAAGGGATACAAGTAATGAGTCCACACAGAAAGTTTACTGACATTTTCACTGATTTATAATAGCCATCACTTACACACTAATGACCTCCTACATTGGTCACGTTTCTGACCTCATGCAATTAATTAAACATGGTTCATAGTCCTTCATAAGCAAAGTTGCTAAGAGTTATATATTTTTTAAAAAGACAGAGATTGTCTTTGAAATATATCTAGAGCATCATTAACTCCTTGGACTTCGGGTAATAGGAAACAGATGGGAAGAAACTTGTGATGGAAAGGTAGAGTGTGTAGCCAGAGACAACCTAAATTAGGACTTTTGATTTTATCCTAAAGAGTCCAGCTAAGGGAGCTTTATAGTAGACAAATAATATAAATATTCTGAAGTAAGCTAACTGACTCAATCAAACCTGAATGAACAAAAGATATAAACCATTGTTCACGGATGCCCTTTAAGTAAAGCTAATTTTTTTCTCAAAGAGGAGACTTAAATTTCTGATTTCATATTTTCCTTTCTCAGAGTAGAAGGAGGTTTTGAGTCCATAGTGAATAAATCTTCATTTTATATGAAGTTCAATTTTGAACATATGTCTCTCTTGTCAGCTGGTAAATAGATAAGCATAAAGAAAAAGTCACATAGGGATGGAGTGGGAGGTGTTATGTTGGCAGTTTACAAAGAAAAATATAACATAATTTCTTCATTCTCACATACAGTGAAAAGCTATCCTGAGAAGGACAAAATCCCTTTAGAAATGTAACTTTTAATTTTGCCTGGAAGTCAAAGGAATTTTTCAAAGTTTGGTAGAAATGTTACAAAGCCAGTGCGGTCACATGAACCGGTGTAGCCACTGTGACTCTAGTCCAAGGGGGCAGAAATGAAAGGAATCTAGAAGAAATATTCTACCCCCATCTGGGGCTCTGGAGGACATACTGCAACACAGAAGGTTTCTCTCTCAGGAAGCTGTCTTTGAAAGCAAAACAATTTTTAGTAAGAAAGTTATGCTCAAAGTTAATATAAAAAAATAAACAAAATAAATGTAAATTAAGATTGACAAAAATATTCTAAAATTTACTATGATGATGGCTGCACGACGCTGTGAATATACTAAAAACCATTGAATTTTACACCTTATGTGGGTGAATTCTATGCAATGTGAATTATACATCAATAAAGCTACTAAAATACATATCTTACAAGTGTTGCGTTAGGATCATGAAGAAACATATCCAGGAATTGCTGAGGTGGATTTAGTGCCTTGATGTATCTGGTTACTAAGATCTGTAACCCTTCACCATTAAAGACAGTAGTTGTGATTCTTCGGTTGGGAAACATTGCCTTACAAGTTTTGTTAAAAATCAGTGCTCTCTCCAAAACATCTGTTTGATCTGAAAACTAGAATAAAGTTCAAAATATTTTGACATGGTACCATGTTGTTCCCACAGGAAAATATCAAGAACCAATGTTCATTTTTACCAGCTTTGAAATTATTACTAGTTTTTAAAAGAGTTTATACTTCTTTAGTAGTACACGTAAAACAATTCAATGTAAAACCTACCTTGTCTAGTTCTGGATTACAGGTGACATGTGATATCTGAGGTTCAATGGTAGCAAAAATATTTAAGAAGGTACATTCTTTTAAATTCTGCCCATTATACTCTTCTTTAGGAGACACATAAGTCTTACTCCAAGCATATCCAAGCAAAACTGGTGGAATATTTACTTGAAATGTTCCACTAATCTGAAAGAATATATCAATATAATAGATTCCACATGAGGAAAATATACATCAGCAAATACAGTACAGCCCATTTCAGTCTTCTCCAGAGGAGGAAACAGGCTTGCATGGGTACGTGTGTGCTGGTTCTGTGCACCTGCTCAAGGATGATCACATATGCCCTTCTCCATGGTGGTCTATTCACAGGCACCCTTGACACTCTGGGTCCCTCATTAATATGCACTGTGTGGAGAGGGCATATGTTAGAAAGGGATGACACGAGGATGCAGGTTACCCTAACAGAATGACAGTTCTTAGAAGATCCAATTCAGGCTCAGAGAAGATGCTAAAAGACCATATTACATTTTATATTTGGTCTAGAAAGAGAAGAAAAAATATAACAGTAGAAGGACAACCCACAGGTCCATAGGAGGAGGGGTCTTGTGTGTGCATGTGTGTGTGTGTGTGTGTGTGTGTGTAGGTAGGAGCTGATTTACAATAATAACAACTAATAATAATAGCTAATAGTTACTGAGAACTTACTATGTGCAAGGCACTGTGCCAAATACTTGATATAGATCATATCATTCAATGAAGTAGATATGGCTCTTATCTCCATCTTGCAGATAAGGAAACTGAGGCTCATAAAATTTAAGTAATTTGTGCAAACTCAGACAGCTAATGAGGTCTGTCCACTTTTGAAGTTCACATTGTCAACTACCTTTCTATCCTAGAGTCTGGCCTGAGACTGAGAGATATCCAGAGATTTACAGATGTAGGAAGCCCTGTACCTCTAACAACTTAAATCTCTATTGCTGGGGTGCCTGGGTGGCTCAGTCAGTTAAGTGTCTGCCTTTGGCTCAGGTCATGATCCCGGAGTCCCCGGGAGTCCCGGAATCAAACCCAGCATCAACACTGGGCTCCCTGCTCAGCGGGGAGCCTGCTTCTCCCTCTGCCCTTCACCCCACTCATGCTCTCTCACTCCCCACCCTTTGCTCGTGCTCTCTGGCTCTTGCTCTCTCAAATAAATATAATCTTTAAAAAAAATAATAAATCTCTATTGCTCTTTATTTGCAGCCCTCGTACTTGCAACATGCTCCCGTGTGACATCCCTCTTGATGACACATTATGCAGACATTTCTCCTCTCCTCCCTAATATCCATTCTGTCCTCCTTTCTCACCAGTGGTTTTAGACAGCAACACGACAGCCACACAGTGGCCAACTCACATAAATGTAAGAAGTATGCCATGGTTTTCTGAGAAAGTGTCTGTTTTCCTGATACAGGCACTGCCCCTTCTTGCTTCACCCTACTCTTTTCTACAACATGGATATGAAGCTGGAGGTGCATTGACCAATTTGCCATTATGAGGATGAAAGGTACATGGTATTTATGTGATGTGATGATATTCTCGAGCTGCTGCACTGTCATCTAGACTCCTTTTAAGGTGAGATAAATAGACCCCTTGCATCACTGTTAGGTTTTCTGTGGCAAATGGCTGAATGCAATACTAATACACACATAATTCCTTCTGAGTCAAACACCCTCTTTTGTTTGACAAACCATCTTTAAGGATTTGATTCAAAAGTTATCTCTTCTGTAAATACCTTCCTGACCTTTCATTCTCCTCCTCATACCCTGACTCAGCCCTGACTGCTCTGAATACCCCGAACTCCTCCTCCAAACCAGAGTAAGGTACTCCCTACTGTATGTTCTCATAGTACTATCTCGTGCCCCTATCAAAGAACTACAGCATTATTAGGTTGTACTAAAGTGTTAGTTTTCCTCTATAGACAGTGAGCTCCTTGAGGTAGAAAAGTCATTTCTGAAACTTCTGTGTCTGACATAGCTCTGTAAGAAAGTAACAAAGCCTAAAATGGAGTCTAGGCTGAGGTTTTTATATTTTGCTGGCCACGAAGGCATATTTGTGCTACATAACTCAACAGGAGAGCCCTGGGGGGATATCACAGAGACAGGTGCTAATCATCAGTCTCACCATTATCAACAAACAATCCCAAGGAGCTGAAACTCCTAGAACCCATGGTCACAAAGCAACATCATTAATCATTTATCATTAATCAAAGAACATTCGTGAATCTGGTCCTAAAAAACTATTATATGCAGATATAAGTGTTGCTTTAAGACCTAAGGCTAGCTTTGCTATTCTTTTTTTTTTTTAAGATTTTATTTATTTGACAGAGAGAGAGCAGGAACACAAGCAGGGGGAGTGGGAGAGGGAGAAGGCAGACGCTTAATGACTGAGCCACCCAGGCGCCCCTAGCTTTGCTATTCTTTATCAGTGAACACGCTAAAGATATAAGAAATAAATTTATGGGTGTCTCCTCTTCTAGAGACAGCTAAAACATTTAAATACTGCAACATCCTAATGGCACTCAAATACAAGATTGTTTTAACTGACCTACCGATATGTCAGTCACAAAATCTGATTCAAAGACAACAAACAGTACATTTCTATTAACCAGAGGTAAAAACTCAGAATAATTAGCAAATAATCACTTTCTATTACCTCAGATTGTTGCAGAAGAGCAGAGAAAGGGAAGACAATGGATCCGAGCCAATTCTTTCTTATATGTGAATGACTACTGCAGCTCTTGAAATAGGGATCCTATTAATATGAATAATTTTTCTATTACTTACTGTATACCATGTGATGAGTAATTTCACAAACTTGCAAATAATTATAAAAAATCATTTTTTCTTTTTAAAAAGAAACCAAAGAGTAAGCAGAAAGGATATTTTTCTCTCCTTAAAAGATAATTGACTATTTTTTTAAAAGATTTTATTTATTTGTCCAATAGAGAGAGAGAGCATGTGCACAAGCAGGCGGAGCATCAGGCAGAGGGAGAAGCAGGCTCCCCGCCAAGCAAGGAGCCAGACGTGAGACTCCAGGACCCTGGGATCATGACCTGAGCCGAAGGCAGACGCTTAACCGACTGAGCCACCCAGGCATCCCAAGATAATTATTTAAAGCAAAATAATGACCTATTGTGGAGTTTATGGCCTATGTATGGCTATTTACATTATTGTAGTAGATATGCTCTGTGCAGCAAACTTTGAAAATACACTAAAGAATACAGAGAATTGGGGCGCTTGGGTGGCTCAGTGGTTAAGCATCTGCCTTCGGCTCAGGTCATGATCCCAGGGTCCTGGATCGAGCCTCACATTGGGCTCTCCACTCAGCAGGAAGCCTGCTTCTCCCTCTCCCACTACCCCCTGCTTGTGTTCCCTCTCTCGCTGTCTCTCTGTCAAATAAATAAATAAAACCTTTAAAAAAATAAAGAATACAAAGAATAAACCTTACCTTAACTCAACCCTAAAGACATCACCACCATTAACAACATTTTAAGATATTAAATAGTAGTGAAAATATGTCAAAATGATGACACCCTCCAAGAGAAGAGTAGCATCATGGATGCTGGGTCAGTGAGAAAAGTAGACTTAGAATAGAAGTCTGATGGTTGATATAACATGGTCAAAAAGAAGCAGGTTTGTTGACATGGCTAAGTAATTTAAGTGCATGACATGTCTATTGGAAACAGGTGACCCCCAAGGCTACCTCATTAAGCCCTTAAGACCATGTGATTCAGTTTTCTCTGATTTACCAAGCAGTCTTCTGAGCCCAGTTCAGTTTCTAAGAAAGGTTTCTCTATGGAGAAGTGATTGCACTGATAGACCAATTCTGATTGCTTGGTATGTTATGTTTCTTATGCTAGTTAACAGATTGTTTATTTTCCCTAAGGTCCTGATCACCTGTATCATGGGAATTTCAGATTTGCAAGATTGGTTTGATTTCCTTTCTTTCCTATCCCCAATTTAGCCTTGGATAGAGCTGGCCTTTCACTTCCAAGATCTTGTCATTAAAGAAGTAAACAACAGGCTGTTAAAGTAAACCATCCATCTGTGTAAAGAGAAATTAATCATTTTGGCCTGTTTAGAATATTATGATTGATTCCAGGCATGCTTAAGCCCCATCATGTTGTAAACTGGGAAAAGGAAATTGTGATAGTCATGTCAACTTGACTGAGCTAAGGGATGCCCAGATACGGTAAAACACTTTCTCTGGGTATGTCTGTGAGGGTGTTACTGAAGAGATCAGCACTTGAATCAGTAGACTGAGTAAAAAATCAGCCCTCATCAATGTGGGCAGAAATCATCCAATCCTTCTGAGGGCCAGAATAGAACAAAAAGGTGGAGCAAAGGCAAATTATTTCTTCTTGAGTTGGGACATCCATCTTCTGCTCTCGGACTTCGGAGCTCCTGGTTCTCGAGGGCTTTTGGACTTACACCAGCAGTTTCCATGTCCTCAGGCCTTTGTACTCTAACTGAATTATAGTGCTTGCTTTTCTGGCTCTCCAGCTTGCAAATGGCATATTGTGGCATATCTCAGCTTCCATAATCCCGTGAGATAATTCCCACAATAAATCTCCTCATATATGTATCATATATATAATTGATTCTGTTTCTCTGAATACTAATATGAAGATAATTAAAGGGAAAGAGGGACTATATACCATGTATGTAGGATTGGAAAGATCAGTATTATAAAGATGTCAATTCTAATCGAATTGATCTATGTATTCAATCAATCCAATAAAAGTCCTAGCAGGTTTTGTCTTGTTTTTGGAAATCAACAAGCTGATTCTAATATATATATGGAAATACAAAGAGCTAAGAATAGGCAAAGCAATCTTGAGGAAGAAAAACAAAGCTGAAAATCTTAGGTTTCTAGATACTGAGATTTATAACAAAAGTTTAGTAATTAAGACAGTGTGGTATCCATGTAAGGATAGATAATAGACCAATAAAACATAATAGAGATAACAGACCAATAGATCGAAATAGAATCCAGAAATAAACCCACATTTATACAGTCAGCAGATTTACAACAGTGATTCTGTAGTGCAGTGGGGGAGGGGATAATCCTTTCCATAAGTGGTGCTGGGTCAACTGAATAGCCTTATGGCAAAAAAAGTAATCTTGAACCTCTAGCTCGCAGACACATAAAAATCAATTCTGGTTGGATTTTAGATCTAAATGTGAAAGATAAAATGATTCAACTTTTAGAAGCATCCACAGGATAATATCTTCATGAACTTAAGTGGGCAATATTTCTTAAATAGGACCCCAAAAATTACCACTACTGCATTGCACTATATTAAATCAATATTTTCTGTTCATTGAAAGACACATTAAAAAAGTAAAAAAGACAAGCCAGTGTGGGAAAAATACTTATAAAATGTATATCTGACAAAGTACTCATATCCAGAGTATACACAGAGCTGTTAAGAATCAATGGAGAGGCAGAGCAAGATGGCTGAGGAGTAGGAGACCTGGGTTTCATTTGGTCTCAGGAATTCAGCTGAATAGGGATCAAACCATTCTGAACACCTACGAACTCAACAGGAGATCAAAGAGAATAGCAACAACTCTCTGAACAGAAAAACGACCACTTACTGGAAGGTAGGACGTGCGGAGAAGTGAATCCAAGGCGATATTCGGGAGGAGAGACGGCGGGGGAGGGGGCCTCCGCGGCCGCTTCTGGCAAGTCATAGAGCAGCGGAGCACAAAATTGGAACTTTTAGAAGTCAGCTCCGCTGAGGGACGTCACTCCAGTGGCTAAGCGGGGGGTGGAACCCTCGCGGGACAGTGTGGTCTCAGGACCCTCGGGGTCACAGAAAGACCGGGGGTGCCTGAGTGCGGCAGAGCTCCCAGGTATCGGAGCAGGGAAGCCGGCTGCAGAGAAGGAGCCGAGGCGTGGGCTCTCAGCTCGGGGTTGCCATAAACCGTGATCTGCGGCCCAGTCGGGCCACTGCTCTTCCAGCAGGGACCCAACAAGCGGCAGAGCCAGGGAGACTCCCCTTCCTCCCCGGAGAGGAGCGGCGCGGGATCACACCGCAGGGATCTGCTGGGTTTGGAGACTCCACACGGGGTCGGGTGCCAGAGATAGAAACACTCGGTCACAGGCCGGGTGAGCACAGAGTGCGGCTGGAGACTGGGGAGACGGGAGTGACTGCTTTTCTCTGGGGGTGCACTGAGGAGCAGGGCCCCGAGTTCTCAGCTCCTCCGGGCAGAGATTGGGAGGCCATCATTTTCACTCTCGTCCTCCAAAGCTGTACCGAGAGCTTGGAGGGAACAAAAGCACCAGAGAACAAACCCGAGCAGATTGCTTAGCCTGGACCCGACAAGGGCGGGGCAATTCTGCCTCCTGCAAAGACATTTGGGAACCACAGCAACAGGCCCCTCCCCAGAAGATGAGCAGGAACAGCCAGCAAGCCAAGACGAAGTTTACGATCAAGGAGAACAGGAGAACTCCAGCGCTAGGGGAATACTGCACATAGAATGCATGGCTTTTTTACCATGATTCATTAGTTTTTCAAAGTTGATTTTTTTAACTGTTTTTTTTAATTTTCTTTTTCTCTTTTTCAACCATCTTATCAATCCCTTTTTAAAATTTTTTTTATTTTTCATTTTTTAGAGTCATATTTTATCCCTTCATAGTAGTTACCCTTATTTTTGACATATATAAATATAAGCTGTTCTCTCTTTAAAATTTTGAGATAGTTTCTTCTAACAGATCAAAATATACCCTAAATCACTAGTGTATGGCTTTGTTCTAGGCTCCTGCCTGATCACATTCTCTCCCTTTTCTTTTTTCTTTTCTTCTTTATTTTTTAATCTTCTTTTTTCAAACAACTTCTTATCTTATCAATTCCTTTTATAAAATCTTTTATAATTTTCATCTTTACAGTCAACTTCCATCCCTTCATAGTATCAACCCTTATTTTGTACATATATAAGTCTTTCTTCCTTTAAAATATTAGGAGGCACTTTCTTCTAACAGACCAAAATACACCCAAAATCTAGTGTGTGGCACTGATCTATACACTAGTCTGACCATATTTGATTATATTCTGGGGTTTTTTTTGTTTTGTTCTGTTTTTGTTTGTTTTTATCTTTTTCTTTTTCTTTCTTTTTTTTCTCTTTCTTTTTTCTTTCTTTCCCTTTCTTTTCCCCTGGTTTCAGGTCTTTTCTGATTTGTATAGAGTATATTTGCTGGGGACGTTGTTAACCTGTTAGCATTTTGTTCTCTCATTCATCTATTCTCCTCTGGACAAAATGACAAGACGAAAAAAATCACCTCAGCAAAAAGAACAAGAGGTAGTACCTTCTGCCAGGGACCTCAATACAGACATTAGTACGATGTCGGACCTAGAGTTCAGAATCATGACTTTAAAGATACTAGCTGGGCTTGAAAAAAGCGTGGAAGTTATTAGAGACACCCTTTCTGGAGAAATAAAAGAACTAAAATCTAACCAAGTTGAAATCAAAAAGGCTATTAATGACGTGCAATCAAAAATGGGGGCACTAACTGCTAGGATAAATGAGGCAGAAGAGAAAATCAGTGATATAGAAGACCAAATGATGGAAAATAAAGAGGCTGAGAAAAAGAGAGATAAACAACTACAGGATCACGAGGGCAGAATTTGAGAGATAAGTGATACGAAAAGACAAAACAACATTGGAATAATTGGGATCCCAGAAGAAGAAGAAAGAGAGAGAGGGGCAGAAGGTATATTGGAGCAAATTATAGCAGAGAACTTCCCT